AAAAAAAAAAAAAAAAAAAAAGAGAGAGAGAAATGATGCGAGGAAATGTGGCATCCTACAGCTAGCTGAAGACCGGTGCTTGTCCTTGAGTCATTTTAAAGTTTAATATGTTATATTAAAACAGCGTGGCTAAACATATGTCTTTGGGCATATATGGAAGGCGGTTGTGTAGATAAAATTGTCATTCAAGCAGTGGCCCTACCGTCCTTCCTCCCAGGTTGCTGAGAACGGCACGTGCTTGTGAGTCTTAAAATCCACACCCTTTATCGTATTGGAAATAGTGCTGTTTTGGTCGTACGAAAATGACTTCAGAGGCCAAACCGATCTGCTTTTCCTCAAATTCGCCCACGTATTAACGGGTTAACATACAGATGGAGAGCGCAGAGCTGAACCGGTCGAAGGAAAATATACCTGTGTAGGCCACCCTTACGATTGAGAATCATTCAAGCTCTTTTTTTTATTGAAAATGTAATCTGATAAAATCCCCCATTGTTATAAGGCTATGGAGAAATCTGAATAAATTTTGAAGTCTTGCATGATTTCATTTTAATACTTTCTTTTAAAATGAAAAGGAGTTTTGTGGGGGTTTTTTGATGAGTCTTTTAAAATATTCTCAAGATATTTGATTTTCCAAGCTTTCCAAGGAAAAGTATGATGTTTCCTGGCAGTGGGCAGTGATATTAAGAGCCCGGCCACCAAATTCCCTGCATTTTGGAATTATTAGAGGGATGCTGAGAAAAAAACAAACCCAGAGATGTTTAGGGAACTCTGTTCCCTTTTCAACATTCTAATTTCTGCAGAGCTTAGAGTAGGTGTAATTTCTTTAGAATGTGTATTTTCAGAATGCTTCTGAATATCATGTCAGCTAATGTTCAGGCTCTGGAATCACCCCTAATCGTGTTTGCATTCCAATTTCACTACTTACCCGGTTGCATTTTTAGATCATTTCCCCAAGGTCGTAGCAGGTATTCTTATTGGGCCTGGATTACTAATCAAGGAACCGGGTGTCAGAAGGTCTTTGAGGAGTAAGCATGTTATCCCACCTAACGTGTATTTTCAGGGCCTGTGATATGCAAACCCTGTGACATAAACTTAAAATAACAGTGGCTGTTATT